GGGACAAGATGAGTACTCCAACTAGACAAATGTCCACCAGTAACAACTCTCAGGATAAGCAGTTAGTGTACAACAAAAAAGCTCTGACAATTGTGTTCAAATGAACCAGAGCCCACGAGCGAGTCGTTAAAAGGTAGGCAAGTGGAAGAGCAAAACCGCTGGGCAAAGATATGCTGTGCTCTCGATATTAACGTTCCTCCAACTAGTCTTACGCGCATTCCCCGAAATTCATCCTCGCCGCATTTAGGACAACCTCGGTTATTACGAGTAACCTTTGATAACACACGCGACCTGGAGGATGTGCTCCTGACGGGCCACAAGCAAACGAATTCCTCTCTCAGCGCCCGTATTTCCCCAGATAAACCATGGATAGATAGGCAAAAATGGAAATCCGACCCAGTCGCGTCACGACATGATGCGACGAAGAAAGTAGTACTGGTCAACGGTGTTCCAGAACTTAACCATGGCGATATAAGTGAACATCAGAAGCACGACATAGAAGAGTGGAGGTACGTAACGGAGCTCTACAACATACAAAATATCGTGACTTTCGATGTCACCCGTCTAGCGGCCTCCTTAAACTATCAGGGTAACGGGCCAAAAATTTTGAAAGTCACCGTGGCTACACCTGAGATGGTATCAACGGCCGTCCAAGCGTGGCACGACAACAGAAAACGTGGGCCACCTGAAATACGTTTAAGACCGTTCCAAAACAAAGTACGGGCCACAGATACAGACGAACCGGGCTCGGTTGTTCCTAACTCAGGTCAGACAAATGTGCAAACCCCTCTGACAAAAAACGTACGCAGACCGGCACAAGCTGTGCCGGTCAACCACAACGAACCGAGCTCCTAATGTGTCAAAAGATACAGTGCTGCTACACAAACGCTCAGGGGCTCAACTCTAAGCTACCTGAATTGCGCCATCGACATAATACAATCAATTGGGATATCATAGCTGTAACTGAAACCTGGCTGTCCAATGACATGCTCGACACGGAAATGGAAATCAGTGCTATGTCAGTTATTCGCAATGATCGTCCATCTCGCGGTGGCGGCGTTGCTCTGTACTATCGGAATTGTCTGAGATGTGAGGCTATTAACGAACGTCACCTTGCTGTCTCCGACGCCTTGTTTTGCCGAATGCAGCTAAATGGCTGAGGTGGTGAACCTTCGAAGAAGATGTGGGATGCTTGTCTGTTGACAGTTGTCTACAGGCCACCGAACTCCACCGCAGACCGAGATGACATTCTGTTAAACGCGCTTCATTATGCAGTTTCTCAAAAGTACTCACATTGTCTAATCATGGGCGATTTTAACGTACCGTCAATTGTCTCAGCGACTTCTAGCGGTCCTTAATTCAAATCAAAGATTCTCGAGTTTATGGATACAGCTGCTCTGTACAACCACGTGCACCGCCCAACTAGACACCGCGGTTCAAATAAGCCATCGCTTCTAGATTTAATCCTAACCAACGAAGAGTTGATGATTGAGACAATTTCATACGATCCACCATTAGGCAACAGTGACCACTCAGTGTTAAATTTTGCCTATGTGTGTTGCGCCAATACTACTGAAATCAGACATGAAAACTGACGAACTATAACCAACTATTCCATGCTTCACAGCCTAGCGACAACCGTCAACTGGGACCTCAATCTGCAGAGCACGGCAGACGACGCGTGGAACGAACTAAAAGACAAAACTAGCTGTGTCACGCAAACAGCCCCTAAAGTCATACCATTACGAGTGCCGCGCCGGACTAACACCTGGATCCGAAGCAGAACGCGTAAATGGATTAGCACCAGAGACGAGATCTGGAGACAATACGCGCTGAACAATTGCGACACCACCTGGGAGAATTACAAAATAGTGAGGAACTATTGCACATCACTGATTAGAGCCGATAAGTTCGAATGGCAAAAATACGTGGTACTTAAATTCACGAACAATACAAAACTGCTGTACAGGTACGTGAACAGCAGAAGGAAAGTTGAAACAGGAATACCACCACTCAAGACGGATGGTGGCCTAACGACTACTGCTGTGGATGCTGCAAACGCCATAGAACCTTTGCCAAACCAGTATTCACCCAACGTGGTCGGCATATAAACTTTCACTTTTACCTCAGCAGCTGTCGCTGGTAAATTATGGTCTCTAAGAGAAAATAGCGCTCCGGGAGTCGACAAGATCAGACCCAAAGTTCTTAAAACTCTTGCTCCCACCATAGCAGCACACCTCGCAAGTTTTTTCCAAAGCCTACTCAATTCCCAAACACTTCCGTCTGAGTGGAAAAGCGGGATAGTCACTCCGATATACAAAGGAGGTAAGCGATCGGATCCTGCCAACTACCGACCCATTATTCTCCTCCCTGTTTTATCAAAATAATGGAATCGTTAGTTGCAGATGAAATTACACGATATTTTGAGAGTCTGAAGCTAATTTCTTACCTCCAACACGGCTGTAGGCGCAAACGATGTTGCCTCACAAATCTGCTTCTTGCTCGGGATTCATGGACCAAAGCACTTGATGAAGGATCTCCCCTTGATGTGATTTACCTAGACATTTCGAAGGCAATCGACAGAGTCATTCACTTAGCTCTGCTTCATAAGCTTCGTGCCTACGGTATCCATGGTTCCCTACTCACCTGGCTAGCAGCATATTTGCATGACAGAACGATCAAGGTCAGAGTCGCCGATGCCCTCTCGGAAACCCACTGCATCTCCAGCGGCGTTCCTCAAGGATCCGTCTTTGGTCCCCTCCTTTTCCTGGTCTACAGTAACGACATCCCGGATAATATTCAATCCTCGATGCAAATTTTTGCAGATGACGCAAAAATCTGGAGAGTTATTCGCTCAACATCAGACTGTGCCCTCCTCCAGAATGATTTGGATCGAATCAACAAATGAGCAGATATAAACCACCTCCCCCTGAATCCTGCCAAGTGTCACCTACTGTCATTGCGCAGCAATCTTAACAACACGTACCTCTTGGGGCAGTACGTTTTACGGCGCGTGACCACAGAAAGAGACTTAGGTATCATTGTGCAAAAAGTCTGGGGAATTCGCTCCGATGTTCGAAAGCAGCAAACGTGGGGAACATGAATCTGAGACTTTTGAGGCCAGCTTTTGCTGTTTTTGCACGACGGTTGGTACCCATGCTTGTCAACTCCTATATCCGTCCCCACGTCGAATATGCCGTCCAGGCTTGGTGCCCATGGGTAAAACGGGACATTCATCTCTTAGAGCAGCCCCAACGAAGAACTACCAAGGCAACACGCGGATTATCTGGTCTCAATTGTGAAGTGCGTCTCAGTTTAATCAGAATGTTTTCCCCCGAATACCGACGACTACGCGGAGATCTCATTCTCGCATACCGGATACTAACAAAAAGCGATCGCCCGAGCAAATCGTTGCTCACCCTAGCCTCATATAAGCGATCGAGAGGTCATAACCTCAAGCTGATAATCCAATACTCCCAATTAGACTGTAGCAAATATTTTTGCTCACTTAGAATCTGTTCACAATGGAATGACTTGCCAACGCATGTGGTAACCGCTCCGAACATTACAGCCTTCAAACAATTGTTAGACATTCATCTTAGTGACAAACAACACATTGTGGTGTGATTTACTAGGTTTAGACTATTGGCATTTCAGTTCCATGTCGGAATCTAATGATTTTTATTTATTTTGTATTTTCCATCCTATGGGTCTTGTAAAGCCAATGCTTTTTATTCCATCTTACACTATTGAACTATTGAACTAGGCGGACGAATGTGTCTGACGAATACCGTTCGCTTCTTATTGACATCATCCATTCAACCCGATAAGGTACTCCTATAATAGGTGGAATCTGCGCGTTATCACCTCAGTTCATGCATGGATTATCTTAGCCAATGGCTATTTACTCAACCGGAACATTTCTCAACGTGTCTGTTCTTTGATAAACCGGTTATTGGCGTGAATGGCAGGAAATTCTAATAATGCGGTCTGCTGCTATTCATCAATGTCTCACGCATTGTTCGCCGTGTGCTGCTCACTGCATGGTATTCCCCCACTTATTATTTAACAACAATTTAGTTCGAGTTCAGCATATCGATAAACAACCTCTACTTTATGAACCGAAGTTGTTAGATTCCGCGCACAAATATACGTGTCATCCATAACAGCAGACCTCTTAATGCAACCAGCGGACCGCCTGGGATTTGCACGGCCTATAATTAACCTCCGTTTAACCTGATTGAGTTCTACACTAAAGGAGTTCACATAACGCATAGTCGCGGGCTTCTGTGTTTCTGAGCTGCATCTTCAGTTTGACTTAATTTCTTACCTTACCAGCCAGTAACCTCGTCCACCCGACACTCGTGTGCAGCGCCAATGTTAGCTTGGAGCGATGTCCATTTATTTTCCTTGCTTAATTTCAACTAAATATTTGTGAGTCCTTCTCCTACCGGAGGCTTCCGGGCGTGTAAGTTGTACCATTGCTTTGAAATGCACTGTTATTGGTGTATAGCAGCGGCTACACTCTTGTACCACTCTCCAACAACCAGGGGTGTGCCATGCCTAACTGGATGGCATGAACTGATTCTCCAGGTACTAACGCAATGTTCATTTAATCAAGTATAGGTCAGATTAAATCGGATATTCAAGTTCTACCGTTTGGAGTATGCACAAGTGAAAGGTAAGCTAAAATGAAAAAAACATTTGAAGAAGTAAAATGCTGCAAGAATGCCCCATCGAAAGCTACATGTATATTTGGCAAAACCTGATTAGTAGAGTTAACCAAATCTTATTCACCAAAATTAGTCACGCATAAAACAACGCCGGCCAAAGAAGTTATAGTTTTCTTAACTAACCAACAGTCGAGTAGATGCATGGAATCGCATTACTCCACCATCCCAAGCAGTTTTCAGATGAGATGGCACATTTGGAAAACAAACCGGTGCACTGTGGATGAATCTTACTCATCCCACTGATTGTTCATCTCTTTGCATTCACAGCAATGTGTGCCTACGCCATTGGAGCTCGCCTGGAACATCTTGTTGACCGGCACTCAACGTTTCCCTTTGCGTGGCGTAGTGAACCACAGAACGAATACTTGTTTCAATGGCGCAGCTTGACACACTTGTTCTCGCAGATAATAAGCAAGAGTGATGTCGTGTTACCTCCACCCTTTAATCCGAAAGACCCATTTGTTCGGGAGGAAGCGGTGAGTCACTTTTTGCTGGTTAGAAGATCAAACTTCTCATTGCCTCTTTCCACATCAGCGAAAAATGTACTATGATGTTCATCTAGGTGAGAGCAACCAGGTTGAATAAGAACGAAACGACGCTTTACCCTTCAGTGTAAACTGCAGTTCAGTGTGACTAAATCAGCTGCCGCAAACTACCCTGGCCTATGTTGGTTTATTTTCAATTCGTTTCATATTAGTAGTAATGTTGTCTTGAAGACGGTTCAAAGCTTCTTCTTACCGACCTTATTGGACTCAGGCATACATCATCGCATAGTAGTATGCGTTTCGTGTCATTTCTCACACCTGATTTTACAGCTTCCTTTCAGTCGTGAAGCTAGAGTGATCTGTTCGGCTTGTCGAACAAAAGGAAGCTACACAAACTGAAGGAGCGGAGGCGGTGTGCAGTGCTGATCGAATTGTAATCGCGTTCGTATGTATGTCGAACGTTGTCATACCAACACCAGCATGTATATCGTTGCTTCGACCTCAGTGCCACAGTGCATGCGATTCAACTCCGTTGGTGATGTGAAGTTGCGTTGTCATTTATCGAGGTGATGCACAATGTGCTGTGTTGGTAGTTGAGGCAGAGGTTTTCCGCTAAATGTGTTAAACGAACAAGCAGTTTGTAACAACGGACGGTTAAGTAAAGCTGCTTGGAAATCACACTCTTAGGTGAAGAAGCTCGCCGGTGTGTAGGAGGTCTTTAGTCCGACCTTCGCTTAATGGACGAAGCCAGTTAATGTGATGAACTTGAGCGAAATCTGTTTGACATCACTCTCGCTATTACCTGCACGCGTTAACTTAAGGTTAATGCGGCACACTCTGTAGAACACACCCACTTAGTTGACAGAACATTATGTACTGCACAGTCGAACTAAGAAGCAAGGATTGGTATGTTCAAACCTATGTTTTGTTAGAAATAGGAGAAAGTGTAGATCACCTTTGTACCCTACGATGAAAGCAAGTCGATCACGATTCTGGATGTGCGAGCAGACTGCTCGCTGTTAACCAGCTAGAAGAGTGACTACCATTGTTATTGCGTCTAAGATCCTGTTAGGGTAACCACTGAGTGTACTCCATGGTTCTGCGTTTCACAACAGGAAATTTCTTTCAGCTCCATATTTTTGTGTTGTTGTACTTGAGCAAGGGATAAGCACACTACCTATCTTGACTTATTACAAGGCCCTGAGCTACTTAATCTCTATCAGTCTGATCATTTGGCTTGCATCCTTTAAATTGGGTGCGGTGATGATCCACGGAGACCGACTACTACTATCGTCCGGTGCACACCCCGACATACTTAGGTCACGTCGAGCGTCATGTGTTTGTTCGCAGTTGCGGTAACAATAGAATTCGGACATCGGTACAAACGACCAGCTAGTACATCCAGGCATTACGCAATCTCAGCGGCTCGCCTTAATTTGAAGCTGTACTTCGGTTTTCCCACTATTCCACTGATCCCGGTGAACTCGCAGTTGCATATATGGCATGGATGAGCGGACACTGAGCTAACACAATGGATGGTTGGGATGAGACGAGTGGTACACCTAGAATATTCATTAAATATCTCAACGATAGCCTAACAATCAGTTGAAGCAACATATCTACCCATGGATTGATGCCATACCAATCACCGCACTCTCAGGTAAGCGAAAGTCCGAAGGCATGTTTTCCACCGCCTACCGTTTCGCCTCCAGTTAGTTTTTGTTGTGCATTGGAGACTAAGCGAAATAAGCAGTCTGTACTCTGACGGCTTCTGCCTGAAAGCGATCAGGTGGGAAGGATTCCCTGCATTTCTTTGTATGTAATACCCAACGAAATCGACCCATCAACACCTGATGATGATATCTCTGACTAATTATTTCTCTTCAAACATCTTCACAGGCTCTCTTAAGTCAGATGCTTATCACTGACCATTACGTCCAACCATTCTACATGTACCTGATGAGATTCACCAATTATCATCTCCGTCCGGTTGGGATTGTGCACGAATCCTAGTCGCAGACACTTACCAACGCTTGGTCCATCCTGGTTTCGACACAAACCGCTTTATTCGACAAGTGCAGCTACCTTCCCCTCTGTACTTATATGCACAAAACTTTACCCGATTTCTTCCTTTTCGCTCGTGCTCCTACTTGAGCAAATCTATATGTACAAACCTACTTAACTTGGACATGTTGCAAACGAAACGCATTTTATGCATTTGTTGCTCGATTTACTCGCAAATCACATGTAGTGTTGTGATACCTTCATTCGACCGTCTTTAAAGCAATGGAAGTGTAGAGTGTGAACACAGGAAAAACGACATGTGCAGTGGCTACACTACGGTGGGTCCATTTCATAATACATTTAGTTGTCGCTAATTTCGTGGTGTGCAAAATCCCATGGCGTTCAGCACATTGAACAGAGGCGGCTGGCATAGTTGACTGTGGTAAAACTTCTGCCTACATATCGAAACCGCATTATGGGATCCAATCTGTCGCGTACAATACCCATGCAGTTCGTCTGCCAGTAAGGATGGTGGTGGTCACTGAGATTGTATGTTACGTGCCCTGTGAGAAACAGGATCTAGTTATTTGCAATATCTGAATCAATACATATCCCCGAGTTCTCTGTCACTCGTAGGAGTTCCGCACTTTCCAACATTGGAATCGCCATCAACATCAGTAGTCACTGGAACGACACACCAAGTACTTACGCTTCTGCCTTGCCCTCCCATAAATGCAAAATAGGAAATGCAACCTTATAAATAAAAGTAGATTGTGTGGGAAGGGAATCTGGAGATGAACGTTTAGTGCTGTACGCTGGCACTTTTTATACAAAACAACATCACCGCCAGCTGGTAGTTTTATAAAGCTGCAATGGTAGCGTCTATGCGGTCCCATTGGATCCCTCATAATCCCCGTACCCATAGATGACATTGCAACTAGTCGTTCAAAAAATACATCTTTTTTTGCACAATATGTGCACCGAAACGACCAGTTCACAATGTGTCCTCCTTGGCTGCCATACAGGAGCGCAAAATAAAATCCCACGATTTGCCAAGCAAGTGTTCTATTCTGTGGAAGTGTTTTATTAGACTGGGGTTACTGCTGATTTCTGGTTAACATGAACATGTATAAGTTGGTCTATTGGGAATACGGAAACCGGTTATCAAGTCGCTTTGTCTCCAGCGACTTTGTCCTTCGAATACCCCAAAGGCATCCCTTACTCACATGAGGGATAATGCATTTCGACAAAGTAGTTGGTATAGCAAGTCTTTAGAAACCGTTTAACGGTGAGTTCACGTTGTCCATTTGCAGCTAGTCTTGTAGTCTGTACTCCGATTGAGGACGAACGTGAGCGATTGACATTGGGGATATAGAGACGACCACATGTTTGAACTATTTTCTCAGGGGTTTCGTCCTGCTTGTTACAAGAAACTGTGACATTTTTAGATTACTTGGAACAATCCTATCTACCCAGTAATTTGCCACAATGTCAAGTTCGACAGAAAATCTCCTCAGAAGATGTGTGCCAAATCTTTTGAAGTAGGAGGTTTGGTGTCGCAAATGGAAATCTTTACGGTTGCCAGCATTGAACTATTGAATATCTTGGGCTAATTGCTAGGCACACTAGCTAGTTTGCACTGGAACGTTTGCTGGTCAGCATTCAGTTTACGCCCTCTTCATCTCTAAGCAACGCCAACAGAAAGTACGAAGCTCAAGTTAAAATTTCTGCGGCATTTTTCGTAAATCGTTGATTTCTGCAGCGGATCCAATTCCACAAATACAATCGGACGTTTTGAAGGTATAAAAGACAGTCACGTTTAAAGGATGAATTTAGCGATCCGACCTAAGTGAGGGTGAGGATAATTTGAAACCGGTGCTGGTGCTAAAATATCCGGTGACTCAGGAGGTCAGATGCATTCTGAAAATCTGACTAGAAGCGAAAATATCACAGTATGACAAGTAGCCCGCTAATTTATTGCTATTGATGTACTCAATGAACTGAAGCAGCAGTGGATGAGGAATTACTAGGGGAGTTATTCGTTTATAAAGTCCCACTTATTATTTTGTGGGATCTATCTGCCATTCCTTGCTTCCCAGCGTCCTAGTCCTGCTTCAGATACAGTGTTCCAAGGAGGAGGTAGGCCCTCCACTTTACTACTTACTTCACTGAAATTTTTCGTGTATTTGGTTGGATGGTATTTGATGTAGTCGCAATTCTTGACGAAGGAATATAGATTCAAACTTGATTCGAAAAGTAATTTTATGCACCCGTCGAGTGAATATTCAACTGTTACATACACTTTTTCAGCACACACACATACACATATATATACACAAAAAAGGAATAAGCAACAAAGACGGCGAAGTTGTTACAAGATAAATTTGCTTGTAAGCTCCATATCGACTGATGTGTGGCTGTACAAAATGCGCGCCAAATATGGGATTACGGATGAGTGGTCAGCCCTCGTAGGGGAATAAATGGATCGGTACCTTTGGCTAGTTGATGAAGTCGATTAACAGTCAGACAGGGCACCATAAAGAGGCTAACTTGCATCAGCGTGTATTTTTGAAACAAGCCTTTCACATGAATTGGAATGAGCAGACACAATAACGTTAAAATATTTCGGCTTTAGAATACCACTACATCGATGTAGTTGTGTCAGTGACCTATCTAAGATTTTGAAATGCTTCCTTAGAAAATCGGACAATGTCTCAACTGAGCAATAAGTCCAGTGAGGTAAGACACAAGCGATGATAAATTCCAGTATTTGGTAACGGGGAGAGGAGGGAGGTCGCAAACGAGCAGCATAAAAGAAAAGGCTTTTCACTTTCGTAAAACTTCCTCCATATGGTTTGACAATGATAAATCACGGCTAAGTATGACACCTAGATACTTCACAGACGCAGGGGAGTGCAATCGCTTAATATCTTAGTGAATTACGGGATGATCCATTAGAGGTTGCTGGTAACGGCAGTCATTGTGAGGATAACAAGAACGGCACTGCATTTTAGTACATTTAGCGATAAAACGTGAGCTCTGAACCAGAGTGCAACGTCGCACGGATAGGTTTGGAACTTGTTTGATGAGGCTGAGATCTGATGCTGGATACCTCAGCCCACGCGGTCTGCATATTTCAGCGATATCGCTTCTTCAGAATCGGGTACTTTGGCGACATAAGTAGAAAACAGGTGCAGTGACTTGACTCCTTGAAGAAACCCGGTGGCTGTGGTGAGTTGCGAGGAACTTTTACCCCCAAGTAGAGCAAACTGTACACGTCCAGGGAAATAGTCCCTCCGCAGGTGGATAGTGGAATGTTGGCTTCCGGTATCACATAGGACTCTCAAAAAAGCTAACTATTTACACCGTCCAACGCATAGCTATTGTTGATAAAACATAGCCGCACGTATTTGATCTTATTGTCCAGTGACACTAGCATTAAATGTACGACACAAGCTAGTGCGTCTTCAGTAGACCTCCGTCTAGGATAAACAAATTGAAGCAGATTATCTGGGGGAGATTGAGACGTCATCATTTCAATTATAATCTTCACGAAAACCTTCAGGTCTAGTAAGATGCAAGAGATTGGGCGGTATTTTTCTGCGCCTTACTTTGGCACCGATGCAATTCTAGCATTTCTCCGACAATCGGCAATTTTGCATTGCTGCATGCCCCACGTGTACAAGTCAGCAAGTGGCTGTGCCAAAGAATCAGCACACACCTTGAGGACAAGTAGAGATAATCCTTCTGGGACGCTTGCTTTATTGGAATTTATCCGCAGCAGTTGAGGGAGTACCGTATTTCTATCAATGGCGGATGAAGAGATTGTGGGACTGTCCACTTGGGAGAGACGAAGTAAGAAATGTAGTTAGCGCTTAAAGAACAACATTTCCAGTTCAAATATTCTTGATCCACGTATTGATTTGACGCTCGGGGAGAGACAATACTAAATTTCTCAGCATCCACCAGACCTCTCGGCAGCTATTGTTTCAGAAAATGATCTGGACATATAAATGTTTAGAGGGCACAACGCTAACTTGATTGAAATAGAAAGAGAGATCACTGCAACGTGGTTTTTTCTTTGGAACACTTTCTCTTTGAGTCTACGCAAGAGTTTTAGACACGGAGATGAAAAGTAGTCAGCACGGATATAAATTGTTTCCACTGGACGGCCAGTATCAAAACAGAACTTGGGATAGCTCGTTGACTGGTCATAGTACGCAGATAAATCCCTGTCAATAAATATACCAAAGTCTGTAGATGCCATCATTTATCCTAGTCGATTTATGTTCTGAAGTGAATATTGTCTTCATTTAAGCTTACGATGTTTACAGCGAGTGAGGTGCCTGTGATTCATTTTGTTGAGTGAGCAAACCTATCAATCAGCGCCTGGTTGTACACAAAAAACAACTTTACCTTGTTTACAAATATCAGATCCAGTGTTGCGTCAAGTCTAGTCGCAGAGTTTATAACATCTTGTATCACGAGCACAGTGAGAAAAATAGTGTCAAATCGGCTAGAATCATCAGCAAAAATTCAGAGAGAATAATCACTATAGTGGATGACAGTTAAAGTGAATTGCTCGTGAAATGCCTCCGCTTCAGAGGTGGGGCAGCTACGGGGAAATGCAGATATTTGCCAGTAAAATCGATTGGTGGCCGCTTAAGCATCGTGACTTACACTTCAAAATTAAACATGTAATATGTGATGAGGAGAAGCGAAACATAAATTTTGAGGAGGTGCACCGCGATGGATTGGTATAAATAATAACTCTTCCGCCACGACTGCGGTATGTGCATTTCCGGTCTGCACGATGGGAACTGAATCCCTAGATCACTACAACTGTGTCGTCTAGGTTTTCCCAGAGCCAGGTCTCTTGAAGCATAACTACGCCTAGCTTTGAGTATTCACCAGAGCAGACTATGCTTTTAATATCATCAATTTTGCTCGCAAGGGATCGGATATTTGAGCTATGTATGATGGGTATACTCATGCTCAGCAATGTTTTCTTATGTACGGCGAACCTATATTTAGCAAGATGCCTTTTAGCAGATTTGTTCTTCTTATCGTAGATCCACTTCAGCCCATTTCTTGTAGCTTGACTAGAAAGAACGAGGCGTTCAGGAGAGTACCCTATTAGCACCAGTGCACTACAGCGCTCGATGCCGGACACATCGGGTGGTCGTAAAAGAAATCATTTTCTCTATATAGGTAGTAAAGTATAAACACAAGATTACACAGCCGGAAACATGGATACAATGAGAGCTAGGACGGTTTTCGTTACACGAGTTCGCTCCTTAAATTACTTCCTTTTTAGCGTATAATGTTTTCGTCATGTGTATTCTCTATCACCAGATGTGTGGAATTGTAAC